CTGTGTAAGTGTGCCCTGTTCCATTTCTCCGCTGTCGCTTACTTCTGGTGCCAGAGTGTGGTTCTCAACATGCATGCTTTTTTTCCTTGTCAGCTCCTAGCTTTGTTGGTTTGCATATTTTCAAAGGTTCTTTCTCTGAATCTTTTCATTAATGGGATGGTGGTGAGGAGGGAGGGCTTCACTGTTCCTTTCCTAAAAGAGATGTTAAAAATAACACACCTTGTTTTTGAGTTGCACTTGCTCTTAACAGATAGTTTGAAATAGCAGTTTATAAATATAAAGACACTGAGACCGTTTCTCTTTCCTATGAAAAGTATTTAGTTAGCTTAGGATAACGGGTGGTTTTCTTTCACTTAATGGGCTATACAGCTTCCTTCTAGTTTTCTGTATCTTATGTCCTTTCTAATCTAGCAAAGAAGAATTTTCCCCACAATCTACTTTGAGTAAAGATTTGATCTGGTAGCCTTGAGGTCTAATGACGATCATGTTCTGGGTTTCCCTTCCAGTTCTGCCACCACACAATAGCTTTCTCATAGGTCTTCTGTATGTAGTAAGCAGAATTTTCTACTCCATCTTACTTCATTTCCTCTCCTTTAGGGAATACAGAAAGTACAATTTTCAAAACTTGATATAAAATGGAGGCAAAACAGAAGCTATCTGTTTGGGTTATGTGTTTCCATGTGACAGTCACAGTGCCCACTTTTTTCTTTTTCCTCAAAATAACCAGAATGTCTTTATTAGATTAATGTGGGTAGATTTGTATTCTCTTGAGATCTTCCATCCCCCAAATCAAGACCTTAACAGTGAAGAGGCTTCTTTTCTGCAGAAGAATGTGGCAAGCACCCCGCTGGCGGAGGAACATAGGGAGACCTGGGGCAGAGAGGCAGGGCTTGTGCTTCCCGTGCCCACTGGAATTACCACCACCTCTTACCTGGGCTGCATTCCTCCCTCTCTGAAACCTTACTCACAGTTTAAGAATTTCTTCTCATCTCCATTCGGACTTGAAGTTACAAAAGAATGGTTATAACTGTTCCTTCCACGATTTCTTCTAAAGTGAAATTTCATTGCAACCAACTCTGGTACTTGGTAGTTTCATTGAGTGTTTTCCTATGGCTCAGAAAGATTTAAGAATCAAGCAGCCTTTACTCTCTCCAAAATGAAGGAAAACCTGTTTATCATGTTCCTGTTTGGCATTTTCTTGAATATCTTATTAAAACAAGCTTATGATCGCCCATCCAGATTGCTATATTTATGATACAGATTAACCTTTTAGGCTTTTTTTTTCCCCTCTAGTAAGCTTCAGTTTCCATGTACTCTGACTCAAGAGCATCACACACTGCACAGATTTTTCTTCTTCTCAAACTATTTCAAGTGGCAAAGATGTTCTGAGTGGGTGAAGTTCTCAATGGGTGGACTTGTTGCTAATAATACTGAGGTACTTTGTGGTTGTGTTATCATTCCCAGGGTAAGTTTGCAAATGGTCTCCATCAGGCTCTTTTCTCTTTAATATTCTACATAAGCTGTAATCTTTTGTTGATGTCATTATTGTTGTTTGCCATTGGATTTCTAGAACCAAGCAGAGTATTCATTTCAGCCTGCCTAATTAATTTGGAATTTACAGAAGCAAAAAGCATTTAACAGTTACAATGATGTTTAACAAGTTTGATCTCTGTAGCGTCCCTCCTCCCTCATTACTTTCTTTCTAAAGGATCTTCTTTGTAAGGTGACCAATCTTGTACACTGTGGTTGTCATTCACCTCTGCTGGCAGATGATACAGCATCTCCTAATAGGCTTTTCCTAGTGAAAAGCACCTGTTACCTGCCCTTCCGGGAGAAGCAGGTCACTTGAGGTGGCCGCCTCAGATTCTGAGAGAGGGGAAGAGATGCAAATGGAAGGTGTCAGGAACATCATTTCAGAAGCTCTTTCTTTATCAGTGGTGGACAAGTAGTATAAATAGTGCGTAGTCATCCTGATGGATTCTTTTCTTGGTATTGAACATTCACGTTCAAGCATTTTGTGGCTTGATAGATGAGGGACCTGGCTTTTCAAGTTTTTTGCTTTGCCATGTCCCTTGAGTTGCAGATATCACTGTATCCAAAAATTTGAGAGTATTGAGGCTCCAAAAGATACTGCAGAGACGAAGGTGAACTGCAGTAGAGACATGAGGTAAGTAAGACTGAGGATTTTCTCAGCAGAGATGGAAAAGAGAAAAATACGTCTGCTGAATATTAGTCATGTAACTGCCCTGGTTTGGAAGGTGGAAGGGCAGTGGATACCCAGGTTCCCCATGGCAGAGGAAGTGCTCCCTTTTGCTAGCTTGGCTCACCTTGTCAGGTGTTCCTTGTAGGCCATCACTGGTAATACCTCAGCGCGGTTAAGTTTTTCCCCCCACATTACTGATATATAACCCATAGACCTGGTAAACTGCTCTGTTGTCAGTGCAAGTGACTGGAATCTTCCCTGGTGTGATTAATGGATTCTAAATTTCTAATATCTTCTTAGTTTTAAAGTTCCACAGAAATTATTAGCTATTGAATATTACTATTACTATATTATAATTAGTTCACATTAATTTACACTAATTTTGTAGGGAAACAAATACTTTTTAAAAGACATTTCTTATCAGCCTAAGAATTACCACTTGTAGCAGTAATTTTTTTTGTTTTGAATAGTATTTAAACATTTTAGTAAAAGATAATTTGTGAAATCAGGACTCAGATTTCCACAGCAGGGAATGTATTATTGGCTCTTGTTTCTTTTTTCATTTTTTTCATATGAATTATTTTGTAGTGTGGTAGTTGTGTATACTTATGGCCGTCGGTGGCCTCAAATAATTTGATGAGTAGGTGTTATTTATCAACAAAAGGTCCTGGTGCAGTGGTTCACAGCTATAATCCTACCACTTTGGGAGGCCAAGACAGAAGGATTGCTTGAGCTCAAGAATTCTGCCTGAACAAGAGTGAGACCCCATCTCCACAAAAAATTAAAAAATTAGCTGGGCATCATGGCATATGCCTATAATCCCAGCTGTTAGGAAGGCTGAGGTAGGAAGATCACCTGAACCCAGGAGTTTGAGGTTGCAGTGAGCTGTGGTCATACTATTACACTCTACCTGGGATGACAAGAGTGAGACTCTCTTTCAAGGACAACCTCCCAAAGCAAGGAAGCTTGACCCTCTTTCCTCACTGCTCCAACCCAACTTTTTATATTAAAATAAAAAGCCAAAGGCGTCTGTTTTTCTCCCCATGAAAAGGAACAGATAAAGGGAATTGATGATTCAGGCTGCACCAGTACCAGGCTTGGGTTTCAGAAGTAGCAGTGAAGTACCAACAGTTTGTTTCGGTTCACTTGTTTTTTTCTTTCCAGTTTTTGACCAGGGCTGGGTTTGAACCTGCCACCTCTGGCATATGGGGCCGGCGCCCTACTCCTTTGAGCCACAGGCGCTGCCCCTATGTTCACTTTTTTTAATGCAAACTCCTAGATCCAGATGCTTAACAGAGATGAATAAATATTTCCTCTGACTTTATATAATCAGGGGGAAACAACTAAATAATTTCTTGTTTTCAAGAGTAGAATTCATAAGCCAGAGTACTAGCTTTGATCCTACAGCTAAGTCTGCATATACTTTTTTAAATTTTGTTAGAACAGTTAATATTTCAGATGATCAAACTCAAGGAGAAATGCTGAACCAAGCATTGGGTGATTTACCTAGGATTTGTATTCCTCTGTAAGATTGAAGGGTGGTTTTAGAGGGTTTTCAGAAATCCTCCGTGGATGGGTGCCCCTTCTTATTCCTCCCCAAGCAGCTTGAAGCCACTGGCCCAGGTGAGCTCTGGACTGTGCTCTGGGACAAGAAAACCTATTGGTTTTTTCATGGTGTTACCTTTAGCATTTTACCACATGTTAAGTCTGTTTTGGTTTGATTCATACAAAGATTATAGGAATTTACTAATCTTTACTACATTTTAAGGCCTTGACTTTAATATGTTTATTAACTAACATGCTGGTAACACAAGCAAATGAGGTAGGATGTTTATTAGCTTTAACAGTTTCTTTTTATTCCTTTGAGCTAAGTTCTTAGAAGTCATCTTTATGGTTGACTATGACAGAAGAAAGCTTTTCTTTCAGATAAATACAGGTTGATATATATAAATGTGTATATATGTGGTTCAGTTTTTCAGTGATCATCTCTTGAAGAAAAGAATTACATTGAAAATCTTTTGGTGTTTTCTGCTGATTTCCCTATGATGATTTCAAGATAAAAAACAAACAAAGAACTCTCTATGCATAGGCTATTGTGGGTGGCCTTTATCTAAGGGTGTTCTTTTCTGATCTACTCACTTGCCTCCTGGCAGTCGGCTCTCATAGGCCTCAGTTCCTTAAGATTTTTAGAGTTTAATGAAGGCAAGTTTCACAAAATTTATGTGGTTTCACTTTCATTTTTATGGTTCTCGGAGATTTAGTAAGTAGTTATAATCCAGTCAAAACTCATATTTTGCTCATATTTAGCTTTCACATTTTGAAATGCTATATAAAATTGGTATTGATTTAGTGTTTACCCATATTTTCAGCTCTGAAGTATGAATATTTTATAGCTGCTTCCTAAATTTATATTCATATTCTTTAGAATTTTGAGTTTCTTACTGATGGCTTCTTTTTATGACTAGAAATCTGAGAATTGACTTTTGAGTACAAAGATTTGTTTGGCTGATAGATTTCTTTGATGTGGGAATTGCTTAAAATGCCAGGTCATTCGTTTTCCAAAAGCAAAGCACTCTGATTATCTTTGTGTAACCTACAAAGGGAAATGAGATACTTCATTTCAAAAGGCCTCCATGTAAAAATGTGTTTCAGGATTTTTGGCAGATGTGTTTATAGAAAATCCTATCAGTTCTCAATAATATAATCTGCTGCTCTACAGTGCAAAAATGCCTTCCTCTGTCAGTATTTGAAAGTCATTTCAGTGAATATAATCTTATTTTTTTCCGACTATTTTCAGAGTAATTCTTCAGTCCAGTGTTCAGAGCTGTAAAACATCTGAACCTAACATTTCTGGCAGTACAGGCATTACTAAAAGAACCACCAGATCTGCTTCAAGGAAAGGCAGTTTTAAAAGGTGAGAAAAGAATACTACTTTTCTGAAAAGTTGTAAGACTTGGTTTTCTAGTTTAATGTTGTGGACCCTACTTCTGGAGAAGGACAAGAAGTTAGGAGAAAATAGAGTCCTTGTGATGGGAAGTTCACTCATCTAAGAAAATCTGGACCATTTTAATGTAGGCTTTTGTTTTGTTTTTCAGAGGTAATTTGCAATACTAGCAATGTGGTCTCCGATATGGAAGAGATATGTGGGTCATGATATGGGGAAGTTTTTAATTAAGAATATCCACTTCTGTCAGGACTTGGAGGAAATCTTTTTGTGGGTGCTGGTTCTTTCACTTGTATCCCAGCTCTCTTCACTGCCTTCAGTATGTTTAGGTGTCAGCAAGAAAACACACATGGTCTGTCACCAAACCGATGACTCACTGTCATCTCTGGATACGTCTCATGAAGTGAAGGTGAACATTTCATTCTTAAAGTGTTCCAAAAAAAAAATCCTCATTGGAGAAAGAGTAGATAACCCACTTACTGTTCTCCTGGGAGTGCAAGGTGGGCACCTTTTTCACATTCTCTGCATCTCTTCCTGGTGTTGGCAGCCCAGGCGATCTTATTTTGGGGCTTATGTTGACATAGAGCTCTCATAACAGACCATAGCAACCTGAAGATAATAGATGCAGACTTTACAATGCCCTCTGCAACTCTACTCGCTTCTTTTTAACGTCCCTGAGGCTGGAGGCCATGTGCCTTCATAGTTAGTGTTGGGTTTGTCCCCAGTTTGTCTCAGCGTCCTGAGAGGCCCTGGACACACCTGAGAGCTCTGTGTGCTTTGCCCTGTAAGGATTTGTTCAGCTCTGCCACGTTTCCTCTTCACTGATCTTTTAAACAACTTAACCACAGACACATAATCATGAGAATGCAACAGTGCCTAGTATGGATATTTGAGAATTGTCAGGCACTGACTCATGGTTTTAGGATTTAAAATTTTTTTTTATTAGAAATGTATCAAATATTTATACCTTTTTTACTCTCTGTTGCACTGGAGGAAAAATACTGACGAAAGCTTAGAGATTGAGGTATGTATCAGAGTGTTATTTGTAACAGCAAAAAATAGGAAAGGGGCTGAAGATTGTTAAATTACGCCAAATGAACAGGGAGTCATGTTTTTAAAGAAAATTTAATACCTGGACAAATGCTCATGAAGCCATTAGTGAAAAGAGCCACATACAAAAAATCTGCAGCAAGAGTCTAATTTGGAAGTGGATGATACTCATGTACAGAAACACAGGTGGATAAATGTTCATAGGTTTGTGAATATATTCTACATTTGTATAGAAATAAGATGAAGGAGAAATATACCTTAATCCTAACAGTTCTTCAGGCTGGTGGGACAGCTGGGGATTTTTTTCTTCTTGTTTTATCCTTTTCTAGTTTTTCAACTTCCGAACAGTAAATGAAGGGAGAAGGGAGTATTTTAACTTTAACACTTTGAGATGAGCAAGACTATTAAAAATTGATAGAAAAAGCTTGCTGCTGCTGATAGTTAACATGCACATGTTCTTTTTAGGTGTCACTGCTCAGGCTTCCATTATAGTCTAGTATGTCTTGCACATTTAATTCTGTTGTTTGCTTTTTTGGATTGTGCTTTTTAGGTTACAGGGAAGTAGAGCCCAGGAGCCCTAAGGGAGCTAGCCACGTCACACCGTCTTCCTTTGAGGAGGGTTGGCCATGTGTCAGTTTTTTCATCTAGGTCTTGTTGCTTTTTCAACAAAAACCTTGTTCTTTTACTTATGTCACTCTAGTGACCTAAGTAAAGGTGTGCTTCTTGGGACAGGTGGTCCTTATTGCGGTGAGCATCTGCCTGAGGTCCCTAGACGGGGCACTCTGAAGGGTCTAAAGTAGATTTCAGACTGAATAGCCTGGACTGAATATTAGAATGGTCCAAAGTTTCCAGGAAATTTGGACAGTACTGAAAACCAAAAGACTTCTTTTAAATGGACTTTTCAGAGATGATTTGGAGTACCAAAGGAATGAAACAGTGAGAGTTAATTGAATCCCATAGTTCATTGAACCACCTTTCTTTATGTGGGTTTTTTTTTTAATTTTACCCCTTTTGGGGTTTGGCCTATGTTCACATCACCTTAACTGTTACCCACTCTCAGTTTACAAAAGAAAGGCAAATAAATTAATCACATATAATTTCTAGAAATTGGAGGCAGCCCAGCTGTAGCCTGGAGCTTTTATCCCACTGAACGTTATTTGGTTTTGGTAGGAGGGTAATGAGGAAATTACTATGATATATTGGTGAATAACCTCATTCTGGGCCTGATAGTGTGAACTAAGATTATTGAGTGATTTTACAGTATTGAATTGAAATCTTTTCTTTAAACAGCAATAGAAGAGCACCAGGACAGCTTTTCAGTGTACCTTCTCCCCTACTTCCAAGGTGCCAGGTCACTTCGTTATTCCAGCTCGTTATTTCCTGAAGCTTCTCTCTTTGCAGGTTGCTTTTGTTCTCAGCAATCCTTATCTCTCCTTGCATTTACATATTCTCTTCTATTCTTAGAGGTTTCCAGGATGAAGACCCCTACCTAAACTCACTTTGCACAGAATCAGCTCTTTGGAATTTACTGAGAGGCTCTTCAGCTTTGGAGAATTTTTTAATTTTTTTTTTTTTAAAGAGAAGAGGTCCCACTTTGTGGCCAGGCTGGGGTACAGTGGTATCATCATAGCTCACTGCAGCCTCCGTTATCAGGCCTCAGGTGATCCTCTTGCCTCAGCCTCCTGAGTCATTGGGGCTGCAGGCGAATGCCACCATACCTGCCTAAAGAATTTTTTCACAAACATGTCAAAAGAGCAGTTACTTAGGGGGCTGAAAAAATATGAGTGATATCCTAAGTATTTGTTTTTAGAAAAAATGCTGCTGTGTTTCTCGTGGCAGATGATGATTCCCTCCTATGTCCGTTTGAATAAAAGCCACATCGAAACCCCAGTCTGGTGGCAGGAGCTTGGCATAGTGACCCTGTAGCGTATCCACACTGGCCTTCTGCCCAGGACACCAGTCTGTTGCTGCTGGGCTGTGTATGGCATTTCCCAGTCCCTTCCTTAGGCTTCTCCACCCCCTACTTTGCTGTGAGAGCTACATGTCCATTCTAAGGTTTCTCCTTCCAGAACTAATAAATCCGGTGACTGATTGGTTCTATCACATTGGCCTGTTTTTCAGTGTTCTCACATTAACTCTCTCAAGAGCTCTCCTAGGCTGAGTCTTGGAAACCCCTGCTGGGAACTCACGGCCACCTCATGTGCTGACATTTGCTTCACTTCATGTCTTTATGTGGCTCTTCCACCATCGGCCTGTTTCTGTGAGCTCATGCCATTTCTTTTGGGCAGTCTTTTTCTTTCTTTCTTTTTTAAAATTATGACCTCATCCATTCTCTATGAAAATTGTCATGTGCAAGTGACTTTTATTCTGAGTTGCATCATTGGGAACCATCCCTTTCTGCTACAGTTGCTAAACCAACCTAATACCCACGGCTTTGGAATGTTTTGTCCCTAATTGTTCACATTATGGGGGGGAGGTGATACTTAGGTTCTCTCCTTAGCTTCTAAAACCATGAGTTTCTTCGGGAGCTGCATTTAGGGTTTCTTTGACTTTTTTTGGCCACATCATACCTGTCTCTGCTTCTTGACCCCCAGAGGAGCCTGTTCCAATGCCTCTTGCCTGTTAAGTTTTTGTAACTACTGTTATCTCTAAAAGTACATAGGCAAGTGCATCAGCATAGGAGTCCCAGAAGGTTGTCTCTCCAGATATTCTTTCTTTAGATGCTGGTTCCCTCTGATCTTTAAACATACTAATATCCCTTTGAAATTCCAGATATTTTCCCACTTGGCTTCAGTAGCTGATCTGGACCTTTTTACTGAATACTCTATTATAGTTTCTGAAAACTAAGTCATCAAACCCACCCTCTCCGGTAGGGAAGTATCTGCATACTATGAGTGAGGGTCTCTGAAAGGAGTGAGAGCTAAGTAAGTGCTGTGTGGGGGACAAGAAAAGAATTTAGGTTAGGATTAGGATAAGCAAGTATGGACTTTATTTTCTCTTAGAAAGAGAGAAGAGAAGGAGTGACAGATGGAAAGAGAGAGAAAAGGAGGGACAGAGGCTTGACATCCCAAAGAAAGAGTGGCTGCAATTGAGGTCAAGTGGCTAGCTGAAGTTAAGGGGGAATGCAGAAAGGTAATCTTAGCCAGGTTGACAAGGTATTGTGGAAACTGGTCCATCTACTTTTCCTCCTGCAAGGTTGAAGACAAGACATTTTTCCAGGTGTTTTTGGTCCTGAGGCCTGATGTTCACCCATTGTCTGGGGCACTCAGGAACCACTTGAGGCAAAATTCTGAAAGAGAAAGGAGCTAATAAAGTAGAAAGAATTTACGTTTCTTTTTATTTGCTGGGATCCTCAGTGGATTGTGCAAACAGAAATGGGGGAGGTGCTAGCAAAAGCAAGAGAAATAAGGCAGGTAGAGAAGATGATTGATTTTAGTCCTTACTGAAAAAACTGTGAGTCAATAATTTTTCTACTATATTACTATAAAGACTGACCATCCTTCCACTCACCTCTAGATTGGTTTTTCTGACTCTTATTTTGTTTTATTTTTCTCTGAGAGTTGCTGTTGAATTGAAAGTATCATGCATTAAATTGGGGTAGGGAAGAAGAGAGGCAGGGTGAGAACCATGGTCAGTCCTTAATGAACAGAGCAGGTCCTTGGGGTGACAGTTTGGGGCAGGCCAGGTGCCTCTTGCACTCAGTCAGACTGGAAATGCTTGAGGTACCAGAGCCTTTTCTGTGACCAAATCTGGCGTTTGGAATAATCCAGTAACACTTCTTTGTCTTTTCGTTCTGCCTGCTTCTCCCACAGCCTGGTTCCTCAGAGGGAAGGAAAGAAAAGGAGTGCTTTGCAGCAAATGCCCTTTGTGGCGTTATGGTACTTTCCCTGCTCTGCTGCTTTTGCCCGCCCATCTTTCTTAATTTTTATTTATTTTTATTTTTATTTTTTTGCAGAACTGAACCTTTTTCTGCTCTGCCTTTCTCTCCTGTTTGTGTTTACTTTATGGTTGATACTGTGCTGTCTTCTCCAAAGTCTTTGTCATTAAAAATATTATACCATGGGTACACTCTTTAGCATGTCAGTATTTTTATTATGTTGCCTTCCTTGTCTTTGATAACTAACTGTGGGATGCTTTCAAACCTTCACGGTAAAATCCTTTTTTCTCCCCCTCCAGTAGTCCCTCCATTTCAAGGACTAAAACAGTCTTGCGTTAAATAAAAGCCTGTGACCAGAGCTGAAGAAGGACCCTAGGAACAGAAAGCTGCAACAGGACTTAGCACAATTTGAGAACAAAACAAAGTTGCAAAAGCCTTAGTTGCTTTCCACCTAAGAAGTTGATGCAGTGAAGAGACTGTCTGCTGGAGCAGCGATAACTGAGTTTGGGTACAAGTGAATGACTTGAAGAAGGACCCAGCTCTGCTCTCATAGAACCGTCTCAAGCTTAAACAACAAAAATGCTGTTGTAAATTTAGTCTCAGGTGTACATACCCAAGCCCTCTGTGACTCGGAGAGCTGGCTAGCCCACGTGGTGCGTGCGTGTCCCTGTGATGGCAATCATTGTAGCTGCTGGCCTCCAGAAGAATTGAGGATCTCATGGAGGTTTTTATGTATTTATTTTCTGTTCACCCTGTGACCCCCTGTCAAAATTTATATAGATAAAAAAGGCATTACTGAAATGATACTTTCTGTAATTTGATACTATTTGGCTTAATCATCTTCACTTTACTATTTGTAATACTGTTGTAATGTTAACTTTGTTAAGTACCCAAGCTGCTTGTCTTCCACCAAAGAGTGCTTTATACTAACAAGAATCTGTGAAAACCACATTTAAACACTGTTGCATGTTGTCATATAGAGTGGTACTTTGGTAACCTAAAACTTGCAAGAGAATATTAATGGTAGCTTGAGGAGACTCAGGAGGAGAAACTGGCTTCAGAGTTGGAAGACTGTGGCAAGTCATTCCTTCTTCTGTCTTTCAGAGACTGAAGAATCACAAGGCTCCCTATTGCTTGGTTGCCCAGTCAAACAAATTAAAATCATATTTTCTTCCATGTATGGAAATAAACAGCACTGTTTGTTTTCCCCTTGGAAACAGCAGTCCCAAATAATGGAGGCTTTAAAAAAAATGTTATTGCTCTTTAAAGTCTTGCTCTGTAAGTTGGATTTTTTTCCCCTGTGCCATTAGCCTAAGGACATTCATACATCTTTTGATTTCAGCAACAGTTATTTGCTTCTGGATTTCAGTTGTTTGTCCTAAGAGGCTCACTGTTGCCTTTGGTTAGGGAATACAACCAGTATCTCTTTGCGGAGTGCCTTCTCCCTTCCCCCTTCTGAAACACAGCAGAGTCTGTGATATAAAGCAATCACAAGACAGGATCTGTTTGCTGCTAAGAAACAAACAAAAATGAGGCCCCACATAAAAGATTATTTTGCACTTACCTTGGTTCCTCCCAAAGTAAGAAGTGGATGATTTAATTACTATTAATCAGTTTTTTTGTCTGCTTGTTTGGAGAACAGAGGGATGCAGTATTTGGCACTGGAGAGCAAATGCCCTCCTGAGCCAGGAGGAACGTATCAGGTCAGTAGGCAGTTCCATCTTAAGGAGCTGCCTTTTTCACAAAACTATTAGGGATAAAAAGTGGTTGGAATAATCAGGTTAAAGTCTTGAATGCACAAAGTAACTGAGAGGCAGTGGTTCTGTTCTGGTGTTTACTCTCTTGGAGTAAAGTGTAAAACTGACATTGAGGGGAGACAGAAGATGCTGTTGTCTGAGCCAAGTGGCTCCTTCGCCACCAGGCACTCTGGGGGGTGTGACCATGTGGGCTTTGAAACACTTGGGACCAGCTGAGGAAAAACAGCTGTTTTCTGTCCTTGTAAATGAATAGGCACAAAACCCCACTTACGTGTGGGAAGACTGCTCTTCAGTAAGATATGAGTAGCAGAGTAACATTCCTCTTGCTGTCTGTGCTGAGACAATGCTAAACACTCAGACCGTGCCCGTGCATACAGCATCTGATTCTCAGGGCATCTGTTCTCCCCCTTATGCTTTTTAAGACCATTCCTCCAGGAATAATCCAGGCAGTTGTCAAAGTCAAACTTCCACCTGAACCATCATTGGTTTGGCTTTTATTGTTAAATCAGAATGAGCGGACATGCTGCCTGCCGTGGCCTTGGTGAGCGCTACTCCCTCGAGGTGAATAAGCTACTTGGTATTTTGGCCTAGAGTAAAAATTTGGGTGTCGGTGTGAACCATTGCCTTTTTATTTTTCAAACTGCCTTTTCATTTTGGCTGCTCGAGTTTCAAGCTAGAATTGCTAACACTGTGGCTCGATCTAAAAATCCCTGTATTTAACTGGCTCACTGAAATGAGTCATAGGAAACTTGGGTTTGGTAAAGAAGCATTCCTTGGAATACACAAATGTCTTGGGATAATGCTTCACATGGATGGCATAGCAACAGTATTAAATGTATGGGGAACAAAGCTAGAATCCAGGAAGCTGCTGGGTCTAACTGATGGAAAGTTCTCCTAGTGCACTCTCCCCACCCCTCCATCGGCTACCACCAACTGAAACCACAAAACACCCAGAATCTTCTGGGATTCTAACTTAGTGTCCTTGTTGTGCCACACACAGGACCTTTGTTGCTATGGAATATGAAACAACACGTGTCAGATGGAGAAATTCCTTTAACTTAAGAGCCTTAAATAACTCTTAAAAATACACCAAAACAGTTGCCAATGGAATAAAATTAGAAATCAATATTTTTAGGTGCCCTTGAAGCTTTCTGGGGACTCAAATCTTGAAGAGTCAGGGACAGTCCAAAGGAAGAGTGTCTGCAAAACCAGGTTCCTAGAAGTTTAGACAGACTTGTACTTGGTAGTGCTAAAAAGAAACTCAGATGCTGTCTTGCCTGTCTGTGCAGAGGGGTGCTTGTGGGTGGTGCCTCCTTAGAGCAAGCAGCCTTCCTGGTGCAGTAGGCTGCTTTGCTGGTCTCCAGAACTTCTCCATTCTCAGCTTCATGCTTAGCCTGTCACCCACCACTCCGTCCCCTGCCCTCCTAACCCTCTCACAGGGGTGATTGCTACCTCTTTTCTTGGGCCCAGATAGGTTTTAGAAGAGTTATTAAGTGTTCCCGTGAGGCCAGTTCTATGTGCTCTTGGGGCAGGATGCCTTCTGCTGGTATGTGGCCCGAGGGCTTTCCCAGGAGGGCCCCACATTCCCCTGGGACCTCCCTTCACCTGAATCACCATCCAGGATGCCTAAGCAGTACACTCAGATGTCCATTCTTAATGTAGCTCCACTCCTTCGCTTCCTACACTTTTAAAAATAATCATTACATTTTGGAAAGCAGTGCTCATCAAAAACAATTTTAAAAACATTGTATTATTTCTTTAATAGTTATCTCCCACGGAAACGGTCCTGAGGAGGCCAGCTGCTGCTCTTCCATATCCTACATCTGAGTATGCTCTATGTCACTAAGTGGAGATACTGTACAGATGTGCTTAAAAGACTGGACGATTGGCCTATACTGTGTAGGAAATTACCTCCTAATTACCCGATAGAATTAATGTCAGCACATTGTTCATCTGATGCTAGTACTGAAGTTTTATATTAATAATTTGCAGACTTTTATCTAACCTGCACTCATGTACAGATTATTAAAAGTTTTAAAATGTAACTGATAAATCAGTATTTGGTCAATCATTGTCTTGATTTTTTTTATTACAAGGTATATTTCTAATCATATTTTTTAAAGCCTAGAGAACTGGTTGAATGAATGTTTATTTTCCTGAAGGTATTTTTAAGATAAAGCTTCATAATGGCCTGTAAACTTTGCATATATATGTAGTTTGATACGTATATTGTCACATTTGAAAATCTTGTGTATCGTTAACTGGTTTTTATACAAAATATTGAATAGTGGAAATTGTATAATTATAATCATGTAATTAAAACTATTAACCAAACTCCCTTTTGGTTGATTGTACTCACTTAGCATCCTGAGTTATTATGATAGGCAGTAGTTGAAACACAGCAGATGGAACCCAGAATCTTATTAGTCCATGAGGCCTGCACAAACTAGGTGGCTTAAACAGAAATGTATTTTCTCACAGTTCTGGAGGCTGGAACTGCAAGAGCAAATTGTCAGCAGGTTTGGTTTCTCCTGAAGCCTCTTTCTGTGCTGACAGATGGCCACCTTCTCACTATGCCCTCACATGGCCTCTCTGTGCCTCCACGTCCCTGGCGTTCTCTGTATATCTTAATCCCCTCTTATAAGGACACCTGTCAGATTAGACTAGGGCTCATCTTGATAGCCTCCTTTTACCTTAACACATTTTGACTGGCCGTTTATGCAGAAGCTGTCCTATGTTACTGGCTATTGTATAATTGAATATGAAAATGAAAGGAAGCTGACATGTCCTCTATATGGTACTGTCGCTTCATCTGGGGATAACTCCTGCTCAGGTATATACAAAGACTGAAATCTTACAATAAAGTAATCCAAAAGGGGCCTAATTTTATAAAGTCTTTTTTCACTAGGTATAGCTTGTGGATTATCACTAAGATGAAAAAAATGTAAGGATTTGCTTAAACCTCATTCTGGTCACAGTTCTAGGAACTATTGCTGTTTCAAACTATTACTGTTGACCAGTAATCTCTCCAATGTAATTTTTTTTTTGTTCGTTTGTCCCATCAATATCAATAAACTGAGAAATGTATATCACTGGTGGTAACTTCTACCTATGATAAAGTTTTAGCAGAGTTTATAAAATTGTGCCTTTTGTGACTAAAAACCTGAATATCTAGAAAAAAAATTTTTTAATAAAGTAAACACAAGGGAACACAATTAGCAAGCTTTTACAATATCCTCCATTACCCTGTGTTTTAAAAATTACAATAGCTAATGCAAGTGCAAACATGAGTTAACTTGTGATCAGTTAGTGTTTGGGCAGGAAAACACAAAAGTTACCTTGTGACTGGTCAGCCCTATGTGACCCACTTAATACAGTCATATCCTGAGGGGCTAGGGCTTCAGCATTTGAATTTAGGGGATCCAAGTCAGCCCATCACACCTCCAGCCAGTGAGGGGCCTGTGTTAGGAAGCCATCCCGCTCCACCTCACCACCAGCTCACATGAAGGTCTTTGACTCTCTAGAGCAGGTGTCCTCAAACTACTGCCTGCGGGCCACATGCAGCCCACCTAGGACATTTATCCGGCCCACCAGGTGTTTTTGCCACCACTGCTTGTCCTGCTTAGCAGCCGACTCATTCTGGGGCCTGCAGTCTGGCCCTCCAACAGTCTGAGGGACAGTGAACTGGCCCCCAGTTTAAAAAGTTTGAGGACCCCTGCTCTAGAGGCTGCTGGAATAAGACTGAAGGGTATCTGGTGCTTGGGGTCCTGTAGGTGGTAGATGGTGGCCCTTCTCCTCGGCCATGTCTGAGCAGGACCGGTTCTGGAGCTATCCACATCTTGACGTCTACTGAGGACTCCAGCCCAGTGTGTTCTTTACCTGGCCTTCCTGCTCACAGTCTTCCTTGCTGGGCAGGGTCCACACCTCACGCACAGCTGGAGGATGGGACTTAGGGCCTGGTTTTGCTGGGGAGTTACCTAGTTCCCCCAAGGAGCTGGGTCTTGATTTGTACTAGGATATGTGTTTCCAGAGTAAGGACCAGAGGGACCTGTCTTCTCATCCCTCTCTAAACTCCCATATGCGACCCTCCAGATGCAACATCAGCAAGCCCCGCCCTCTGCCTTTTGTGGTTTCCCCTGAGGACAAGGCTGGGTGCTGTGTCGTCCTCTTGATCTTAGCAAGGTGTTGCCGTCAGCCAGCAGTTCTGTGAAGTTCCTATGTGTTGGGCAGGGACCAGCTTGGCAGCAAGGCCTTGCACCCTGCAGGGCTTCCAATAAAACAGGCATGCCTGCTCCTTACAGGCAGGCCCTTGTCTGCCACAGGCGTGCAGTGATGGACGTGGAGTTCCCTGGCCCTGTGGACGCCTGTCTCCTGTGTTGTCTGGAACCACACTGCCCAGTGCTTATTTGCTGTGAGGACAATTTGTTGATGTCCTCTGCTTCTGTTTGCCACACTAGGAAAAAAACATTTTTTCCTTGGGGTGACAGTGTTTTATTTGGTCAAGATAGGTCAAAAGACAATAACTAAGAAAATGCCATGAAGGCTATGTTAACCAGTTTGATGAAAATATTTCAAATTGTATATAAAACCAGCGCACTGTACCCCATGACTGCATTAATGTACACAGCGATGACTTAATAAAAAAAAAAAAAAGATAGGTCAAAAGATGCCTTGAATTATATATGCTTCATGAGGCCCTGGGCTCCAAACTAGGATTGAGTTAAATACAACTCACATGGCAGTTAATGTGTTAAGTAAAGTGATAACATAAAAAAAAAAATGACTATATTAGCAGTTAGAATTGAGTTAAATGAGAGAATACATGCAAAGTGCTTAAAACAGTATTAGATGCATAGCTTTCAATAAGTTATTTTGCCATCCATTTTATGTAGTTTTCTCTAACTGGGTAAAGATTGATGCTGATAAATTATTACAGCCCTCCAGTGTCTGGCAGTTTTGGTACCTGCAGTGTAGTTTTTGCACATATTATGGCGTAAGCATTTTAACTGAGGTCAAAGTATTTTGGCTTGAAGGGGGGATATCCACATCTCTTGAGAGTGGTTTGTTCATGGTAAGGAATGAAGGGTCCTTACCTAAGGGTCAATAAGTGCATAGTGTTTGGATTTAAAGAAACTAGAGTGGGTCCCTGTGCCATGGGGATGCAATGTCAACTCTGCTTTCTCTCCTTCCTCCTGTGTGTCTTAAGTGCACTGCGGGTGCCCTGGAATGTAGCATGTAGGAAGGAATTCTCCAAAAACCAAATTTTTACCTCCTCTGTAGTATGCCATGACTATGCTACTGTTTTCTCCCCATTGTTGGCCTTGTGGGTGGTTTCCTGCTGTTTGCTGTTCCGGCACTGCATGAAGATCCTCCCTGGGTGGCGCTGGTCATTTTCTTAGGGTAAATCCTTACAGAAGGAATTTCTGAATCTAAGGATGCACAGCTTTTGCTATACATTGCATCAAAAAGCAGCCTGATCCAACTGTTCAGAGCAGGAGCCCCCGCTGCATGGGTGTAAACCCTCACTCTGCCACTTACCAGCTGTGTGATTTAAGCCAAGTTACTTAGACTCCTTCACCTTTTCCTTCTCAAAAATGGGAGCGGCAATGTCTCTCACATAGGGCTGTGTGCAAGGATTAAATAAGATAGTTTTTGTTAGTCACTTAGAATAGTGCCTGGCACATACTAAGAGCCACATGTATTGTTTAATGAAAAATATTAAAGTGTTACCTTAATGTTTACCAAGAGGATAGTGACAATGTATAGTCCTCCCATAACCTCTTTCTCCCCACTAGCAGCTCTTGTGATATTGGTGATCTGGTTAATAGCATGCATGACACTGGTCTCAGTGCTATGGGTCATAGGCCACCACACTCTCCAGCTGCATACAGTCCTGTCTTTTGATGGCACAGGATCAGCCTCACCATTTCTGTCAGTTTATGGGAGAAGAAAATAATAAATCCTTTTGAGCAAACCTTTCCAGGCACATGTCCCAGACCTTCTCCAGCTGCCTCACTGGAGACACTGGCCCACGTGGGGATGGAGATCCCTCCATGCCACCCTGACGCACATCTGGCTATCTTGCCTTGTCTCTAACTGTGTCTCATCTCTTTGCTAGCAAGTCTGCATGGCTTTGACATGCTTCTGGATGACGCGTGCTCTGAACACACTGACATCCCCAGGTAAGGAGGCCCCCAGCCCGGCAGGGCCAGACCTACCATGGACTGCCCACCCTCAGGGCCCTGGCCCTTCAGGGAGAGTTTGGGGGTGGAATAGCTGGAATGGAGGAGGTGTTGTGGTTTGTGCATTATTCTACTTGGAGAAAGACAATGGTTCCTCCTCACCCTGGGTGTGTTGCTCTGTGAAAAACAAGACAGCTTTTCAGGCAGCCTCATTCTCCCTTGCGTAGGACTCTCCAGAAAACGCCATATGTCTGGTGTCCCTGGCACCCCATGCCCACTCGGTGCCAGTGGACAAGCCACACACCCCACACGTTTTCAACCGAGTCCAGGGCGAGGGCTGTCCCCAGCTGGGAGCCACTGACCAATGTCAGCACAGCTTTCCCTGCAGCAGCATGACAACCACCACACGGGCTCGGTGCCAGTGGGCACAGGAAGAGGCTGGATGAAAGGTTTTACTCAGTGGGGTGCGGGAGTGGGACTCACCCCGGAAGCAGGCCCCTGAGTCTGCAGGGTGGGCCATGTGTGGGTGAACAAAGTACCTTCCTGGCCCTAGCTTATCCCACTGTGCCTGGAACAAGGGGTCTATTGTGACACAGCTGGAGGACACCTGGGAGCTTCCCAGGTAGGCCTGGGATGGGCGTGTCCTTCAGCAGCAGTTGAGTTCATTCTTCACCATTGGATAGGACAGGATGGGAGGGGAGATGGCCAGTCGCCACCCTGGACCACTGGTGTTGTTCAGAGGGATTCTGCTCGGGTCAACCCTCCATCTGCCTTGTCATTGAGGAAGGGATTCAGAGCATAGTTGGCCTGTGAAACCAGTGCTGGCTGTGTGCGCAGTGGCTCCCTGGGACAGGCTCTGTTGTGATGGTAAAAACCAACTCTGCCTGTCTCCTCCTTTTTCCAGTGATGACTGGCTGTCCTGGACTGTAACCTTTCTAGACCGGCTTTTAATCCAGCTTGGGATCCGTAGGCACTAGACCTCCAGAGAAGGTCTTTTGGATGCACAGCACTCACCATCTGGAATTCTCTCCAGGTGCAATTTAGCCCTGGTTCCTCAGGCCGTGCCTCAGCCTCTCAGCAAAGTGTTCTTGCCTCATCCTCTGCTGGGTATTGAGATTTCCACCCAGGACCTTCCTATAGGTGGTCTGG